CCCTCCTAAGATGTGTCCCAAGCTCCGGCACTGCATCCAAGCATTGAGATTCGTGCAAAAGCTGCGGCGTCAAGATTCGATCGAATGGTTTTGACTCGGACATAAGAACTCCAAGTCGATGCTGGTGAGTGGACGTGAAATGAAATGAAATGCAAAGCGATGGACGTGCCAGGATCAAACTGTCGTCGTGAACGTCCAGCCGGCTCACCAAGCTTCGGTTCTCTTAGCTTTTGTTGCCTGCCGTCCCACCAATCTAAAATGTTTGGTCGTGCGCGGGACGACTCCTCCCTCCGAGAAATCCATTTGGTGCCATTGTTGACACAGCAGGCGATCGAGCTGAACCAGAAACCCCAATCCTCCTCCTCCTCGAACCTCGATCAGCAGCCAGCACGGTCGCGACGCCCGCCGTCCCAAGAATCCGATCGATCGATGCTCGGCCAGCCGAGCGTCATCGCCCGCCTCATGGGCATGGAGGACCAGCGCCACACGACGGCGACGACGATCGTCCAAGCCGCGGGAGGAACCAGTACCACGACCATCAGCCTGTTGAAACCGTCGTCGTCCCAGGCCGAGCAGCCCAAGTGCGGCCCGCTCGGCGCCCACCACGGCCGGCGCATCGGCGGGGACTACTACAGGTACTGCCTCAACAAGATGAAGCCGCGGCGGAGGAGGGCAAGGTGTGATCGTCGCCGCCGCGAGCATCCGCAGGAGGAGCTGCTGGAGAAGATCAAGGAGGACTTCCGGGCTTCCTGGCAGCTGGCCTCCACGGCCACGCCGCCAATGGGGACGGAGGAGGAGGAGGGGGTAGTGACGTCGGGGAGGAGGAGCGGTGGTCGGGTGGCCGGGCTGTTGGACGGGAGGTGCATCCAGAGGATCGCGCAGGAGAACCTGCGCCGGGAGAAGCTGGCCAGGTACGGCTATGGCGGCCGCCAGAGCAGCGCGGAGGAGGAAGAAGAAGACATTCAGGTGGCGGTTGTATCTACCCTGAAGAAATTTGAAGCAGAGCAGCAGCAGCAGCGTGGTTCAGAAGCTGCAGCGGCCATGGAGGCTGCAGTGTCTGAAGAACATGACGAGCATGACCAAACGAGCGGCACGCCGGACAAATCGCGCGGCATGCCGGCGACACGGATAGCGATCCTCAGGCCGACGACCAGTGCTGCTCTCGGTGCCGCCGGTGATCATCGGAACGCCGTTCCGACGCCGTCATGGAAGGCGGTGCGGGACGGCGGCATGGACATGGAGGACTTCCTCCGGGAGGTGAAGGAGAGGGCGGAGAGGCTCAAGGCCGAAACGAAAGCCAAGACCGACGGCGCAGGCGACGTGGTCGCGAAGGAGAGGAGAGGCTGGGGAACCGTCGGCGACGGCCCGGAGCGAACGGCGCAAGACACGGCGAGGCAGATCAGGGAGGCCGTCGGCAAGAGGCTGAGCCGGCTGGAGTCCTTCCGCGTCTTCCGAGGCGACCGCGGCCGGCGCGACGGCGCCGCGGCGTCACCGTCCCCGGAGCACAGGATGCTGAGGAGCGTCATGGCGAGGACCGAGGCCATGTCGCCGACGAAGACCACGGGCAGAGCGCCGAGGGGCAGCAGGTGGTCACCGTTGCGGGCAGGCGCTGGCGTGAACGACCGGCAGGGCACTGACCGTGACCCGCGGCGGAGTCCGGCGAAGCTGCACGACGACGAAGGCATCGACTTCGTCGCCGCGTCGCCGCGGGCGCTGCTCCGGTCGTTCTCTGCCCCGGCGGCGGGGTGTTCTTCGGACGCGTCGTCTGTAGGCGCGGAGAAGATGGTGGGCCGGAGCAGAAGCTTCAGCATTTTCAGAGGGACGGTGGCCAGCCTGAGGCAGGGTCTCTGCCTGGGCGGAGGAGCAGGGAAGCTGCTGCTGATGCATCTGTCCAGGAAGAAGCCTTCCTCTCCGGCGTCTCCCTGTCAGAATTTCCTCGCCGGACTGGCGCCTCCTAGCCCGGTGTCGCCGTTGGAGGTCAGCGGCGGGCGCCATTTCTCCGGCGATCTCAACTGCACGTTCCTCCCAGGTACGGCAAAAGTCTGAAGAAATTTACCAAAATTTTTGCTGCATTCCATATGATCTCTCTGCTGCAGCAATGCGTTTTGCTGATTCTTCGTTTGCAGAATCGAGTCCGAGGTGGAGTCCCAGGTGTTCGTCGGAAATCGAGGCGTCCGTGGGCGGCGGCGAGTCGCCGTGGGAGTGGAAGGCCGACGCCGCGGCCGAGAGCGAGGACCCTGACACGGCGTACGTCAGGGAGGTGCTCGTCGCCGCGGGGCTGTTCGACGACGACGACGACGACGCGACGGCCGCGAGGACGGACTCGATCGTCATCTCTGACGACGTCTTCGAGGAGGTCGAGGACGGGTACTACTACCGCCGCCTCCGGCGCCGCGACGACGGCGCAGGAGAGGAGGAAGAACTCGGAGCGGCGGACCGCCGCAGGCTGCTCTTCGACCTGGCCAACGAGGCGCTGCTGGCGGGCGCGAGACCTGCCGTCTCGTCTTCTTCGCCGTCGTGTCTGCGCCGGTGGGTCGTCGAGTGCAACAATGGCGCGCCGTCGTCGTCGGGGCCGCGAGGGAGGGAGCTGGAAGACGAAGTGTGGCGGCACGTGGCGCGGGCGACGGCGGAGGGCACGGCGGAGCGCGACGTCGGGAGGTCGCCGTGGGTGCCGGAGGCGCTGTGCGGGGACGCCTGCGCCGTCGGGAGGAAGATCGAGCGCGCCATCTTCGACGAGCTGGTCGGCGACGTCGTGCGTCAGCTGTTTGTCTGACTGCACCTTTTTTTAAGGGTTGTCTGACTGCTCGAGCAGGTTTTGTACAAAAAGAAAAAAAAAGAGGTCGTAAGTGGGCTGCAGCATGCATAAGTTGCTAGCAGAGCCCAACAATGTCCTAGCCACAGGGAAGCCCAATGCTGCAGTGAGCAAATCATGATGTACATTGTTAATTAGATTTTTTTATGTAGGAGTACACTGTTCTTTTTGTTGAGAAGAATATGAGTACTCCCTCCGTTTTTATTTACTCTGCATATATTAGAGTTGACTGAAGTCAAACTTTGTAAAGTTTGCCCAAATTTATAGAAAACAATATAAACATTACCATAACAAATCTATATGATGTGAAAGTACATTTAATAATAAATTTAATATTATTGATTTGTTATTGTATATGTTCATATTTTTGTTTAGAAACTTTATCAAAGCTTGGGCATAAATAAAAAGTTTGCCTAATGCTTGACTTTGATCAAATCTAATACGCGGACTAAATAAAGCTTGACTTTGACCAAAGATAATACGTGGACTAAATAAAAATGAAAGAAGTACATTGTTAGCAGCTGATAATTTGAACTCATGTTATTACCAAGCATAGGTTTTCATTCATATCAGTTCTACTGTTGAGACTATATTTTTTGTGTTGTGTCTCTGAAATGATTATTATCTTTCAGTCTTGCTAAGTCTCAGTCGACTAAGACTTCGTTAAGTCTCAGTTGATGCTATATTCATAAGATTTACATTGAAATCTGAGCAAAAATTTCTTCGTTTTCTCTCTCTTGCATGTTATGTCACTTGACTGAGACTTGGTTAAATCTCAGTCGACTAAGATCTAGCCACACCCATTATCTTTCTCGCCCCCTAATGACTAAATCCTGGCTCCATTCCTGCCCGGGCTTCTCCATAGTCGCCCCAGATTTGAATTGGATATGAGGTCTATCCATCAGCCCCGAGCTTTTAGGGCCGGTTTAAGGCGTCCGTTTGAATCGCCTTCTTTCTATGGAGGGAGTTCGGTGCGTCTGGCGGTAGATGCTCTAGAAAAATTAGCTCCAGGACCTCGATTTGATGATGAGTTAAAAAGTTCGGACGGGTGCACTAGGCTTACGGGTGGGCCTCCACCCCATGGTCCAGGGCAGAATACTCAAATTAGTCGGCACGACGAATCCACCACGGTAGAGCAGAGCATTGCTCCTCTTCCCAGATGGATCTAAGCCACGCCGGCCGCCACCGCCGCCGCTCCGAGCTTCATATGCAGCCGGCCGGGATCCCCCGCCGTCGCAGCACGGACGGGCTGGAGGCGCCGCCACCGAAAGCGGGTAAGAGTGTACCAGTCTCGGTGTCAGTGTATTGTATTTCTGGACTAGCAACCACGGTTGGTTGTATTGTATCTCTGGACTAGCTAGCTAGTGTACTTAGCTCGAGTGAAACTGCTATGCCTGCTTGTCCCTGTATGTGTTGCCATACAGTAGAATCATAGCAGCTGGGATCTTGCAGACACACATTAGTGCTCACATCAATGAATTTATGAAGACTGGACGGTTACATAAACATAAGAGATTCTAGACTTCTACTCTTCTAGTGCTAGCACAGCAGGACACTTGAAATAACAACAAATTGCAAATTTAATTTGTTGATAAAGCAGGCTGCCCCATGAAATGTTTCCTGGACAATGTTTGACTTGTAGCATATCTGGGATCTTGCAGATACACATTAGCACTCATAGCGGTGAATTTGTGAGGACTGGATGTTACATTAGAGGTTGTAGTGCTAGCAGGACACCTGAAAATATATAACCAATTGCAAGTTTAATTAGAGTGTAGGCCTTGGAGTTCCGAGTCGACGGGACCATTCTCTAGATTATGGCATATCCTTCCCCGGGCTTGTGCTCAAGGGTTTTAGATTTCTTCTTAGCAGATCCAGAGAGCGAAAAATTGGATGAAGTGGATCGAGTTTGTTCCATTCATGAAACATGGGAGGTCTTGCGGAAAATGCTGTGTCCTTTTTACCATTTTCTCATAAAGGAGTCTGGTTCTGTTAGTTTGTATCGTCAATGTTTAGCTTTCAATTGAGTCAACTTCTACCTATATTACTGGTCAAGAGACTTTTATCTTTATTGTTGGTTTACTGCATATACCAAATTACAAAACAAACTTGCTGTTGATTAGCATGTGATGGTTTGCTGTCACCTGTGCCCACATTTGGTGTTGATCTGACACGAACCTGAATGCTTAAACATTTATCTGAAAATCATTCAAGTTATCTAAATTCTAAATATATTGCCAAGGTATCAGTTCTATGTGCAGAGTAAGGCTTTTGCTTGTTGCATAGATATCAAACCATATATGCATGACAATGAGGGGCAAACTAATCAGCAATCACCAGATATTTACGTGACAATACATCTCATTGCGGGTACTCACAACTCTGTATGATGTGTTCTCATAACAAACTTCTGGGTTTGAGTTGGATCAAGATGCTGTGGTGCTCTTTAAGACGTACAAGTTGGAGGACTAAACAACGAGAGCAGTGTATCAACTTATGAAATGTAAATTTGTATTGCCCGTGTCAGTGAATCTATGCTGAATTTTATGTTTGATGACTGTACTAGAAATGGTCAACATGGGACTACAGAAGATTAGGTAGACCAACCGGCATTATTACCCTGTCCTATGGGTACACCCGAGGGTGCTTTGAAGGAGAATGTTAGCTCCACTAAGGAGTCTGATTAGCTTGAAGACAACCAGTACGTAATTTACCAGTTCTTAATACGGAACTTGACACATAAGGTGGAAAGGACAGATCAACAAGCTAGGCAAACATGACGAGCCAGAAACGAACAAACCAAAACCAAGCTTAGAATGCCAAACATATAACCTCCATGAAGCCAATTAAGTGTACATGACCTGGATGTTTCAGCATAAGGTCTTGCGTTATATACTGCCGACCTTGTTACTCCTTTTGTGTTATTCTAACATAGCTATCCCTTATCCTGTGAATTGCAGCAGCTGCATCTCCTATGCACATTCTCTTGGTGGGTGCATGCTTGCTGCATGACAGGGCAACCTCTATGACAGAGAACATGGCATTGCTGGTATGTTCCATTGTGTTGCTTCCATCCAGCAAACTACTGGCACTAGCTTCTTCAATGGACAGTAGGACTGGATCGACGATCTGCATCAGCATCCCTGGAAATGCATCCTTGGCATGTTTTTGCAAGGTCAACCCGTCCCTGAACATGTCATGAGTAGGTGCCTTGCCTATAAACAACTCGAGGATGGCACACCCAAAGCTGTATACGTCCCCACGTGAAGAAACTTGACCGCCTTCACCATATTCTACATTTGCATACATAAAAAGGTATGATTTTGCATACCTGCTAAATTTATGCTGTGGACTGTTTGATTTAATGTTAGAGAAAATTAAAGCTACCTGGAGCGACGTAGCCAATTGTTCCTCTTATTCCATTCGAGCTCTTTGAGTTAATCAGTTGCTCGGCTGCTGGTTCGGAAAGAATCTTTGCAAGGCCAAAGTTTCCAACATGAGCAACTAAATCCTCATTGAGAAGAATGTTGCTTGGCTTCAGGTCACAGTGAACTATTGGCGGTTCCCAGTTGTTGTGTAAATAATCTAGTGCATCCGCAATATCGACTGCAATATTTAATCTCTGCATCAATGTCAATCCTTGCAGTTGCCGTGATGCATCATGTACATCCGGATGTAACCAGCTGTCCAGGTTCCCATTGGGCATGAACTCGAACACAAGAGCTTTGAAGTCGTTTTGGCTTGAGTCAGAGCTTGAGCAGCAAGTTATGACACTGATCAAATTACGATGGCGAACCTTACTAAGTGCCTCACACTCAGCTAAAAAGCTTTTGGAACAACCAGTCTGTTGGAGATCAAAAACCTTCACCGCTACGGTGGTCATCATGTTGTTCAGCAATAAATGACACTTATACACTGATCCATGCATTCCTCTACCAATCAAATTGGCTGTGGCAAAGCCACCTGTTCCCTGGGCCAGTTCAACATAAGTAACTCTTGGATAATTGTCACCCATCAATTGGAATCCACTTGTGGATGTGGATTGAGCTTTTGTTTCCTTTCTCCTTGTGAAGAACACAAGCATCACACTCAAGCATAGAATTGCGCCAACAATTGGGATAGCTATTGCGATAATGAAATGGCGTTTCTTCTTGTGTTCCATTGATTCCAGCGGCGGGCATGGGGGCAACCGTAATTCTGAGTTACAACCACAAAGCCTCGAATTCCCTTCAAACAAAAATCCAGTCACATTACTGAACACACCCTGCGATGGAACTTTGCCATCCAGATTATTGAAGGACAAGTCTAACCGATACAATGATGCCATGTTTTGCAAGCTCTCAGGGATATGACCAGACAAGTAGTTGTGTGCAAGATACAATTCTTGAATACCGTCCATGAGTCCTAACTCTTGAGGAACCACACCAGAGAGTGCATTCTTGGAAAGATTTAGAAATGTCAAGCCCTGCATTTTGCTGATAGACGAGGGAATGGTACTATTGAAGTAGTTTTGGTCCAACTTGAGCTCTATCAAGCTTTGGCAATAGCTAAGTGTATCAGGTAGTGGTCCTGATAAGTTGTTCATGGATACATACATGTATGTAAGCTTTGTCAGACTGCCAACTTCAGGTGGAAGAGAACCAACCAAAAAGTTGTTTGACAAATCCAGTGTATTTGATAGGGTTGATAGGTTAAATATCTCTTTTGGCAATGTACCTGAAAACTTATTGTTTGAAAAGTCTGCTTCAGTTATCTCCTGGAGGTTCCCTAGGCCTGTTGGAAGGGCCCCCTTAAACTTATTGCTACCGGCTGAAAGAACTAGTAGCCGTGTCAAGTTCCCGAGGGAGGATGGCATGGACCCTGAAAATTGATTATTATTGAAATACAATTGCTGAAGCAAATTTAGCCTTCCGATGCTGTCAGGCAAGACACCAGTAAGTTGGTTGTGAGGGAAGTCCAACACATTTAGTCCGACAAGATTGCTTATTCCAAATGGTAATTTGCCAGAAATTTTATTAAATCCAAAAATAAATTGTTGGAGATGTGCTGATAGGTTGCCAACTGAGCTTGGCAGCATGCCACCTAGCATGTTGGCCTGGATGCTAAGGAACCTGAGGCGTGTGCAGTTTGTGAGGAATGTCATAAACTCCCAGTCCTGAGCAGTGGTTGCCATTAGCTGATTACTCTTAAAATTGAGGACTTCTGGGCAGAGCATTCCAATCTCAGGAGGAACTGTTCCGGTGATGTTGTTGAAGGAGATGTCGAGAAACCTTATCTGAGTTGCATTGACAAGAGAAGCTGGAAGGCTTCCTGTAAAGCTGTTCAACCCGAGGAACAGGCCCATGAGGTGCGGGATGTGATCCCCCAAGTCAGAGGGCAGTTTACCATCCAACTCATTGGCTGCCACACTAAATCCAACTAGAGATGAAAGGTTGAAGAGAGCTGTAGGGATGGTACCTGATAAATGGTTAAGTCCGAGGGAGACGTGTGTGAGGCTTTGATGAAAGGTTGATGAGGGCAGTTTACCTCTCCAGATGTATGATCTTGAGCTTTGACAGCCCTGCAAGCCAGGCAGGGATGTTCCCGGTGAAGAGGTTGAAGTCAAGATTGATAGCTTCAAGACCGGTGCAGTTGTTCAAGCCAGCGTTGTTCACATCACCATGAAATGAGTTGCCGGACAAATCAATGTGCCGTAAACGAGAAAAATAGCCGATCGACGAAGGCATTTCGCCGTTGAATTTGTTCTGGCTGAGGTCTAGGATCTTCAGGAACGTGAGGTTTCCGACCGATGGAGCGATTTTGCCGGCGAGGCCCCCCGAGGTGAGGTTAAGCGCTGCCACCCTGTGCTTATGCTTAAGGCTGCAGGTGACACCTGGCCAGGAGCAGAGAGCAGCGGTCGTGTGTTCCACGCAGCCAGCGCGCCTCGCTGGTCGCTCAGGCTCGCCTTGAAGGCCAGCAAGGCATCCACGTCGGGCTTGTCGTCGAGTGTTGTTGCTGATGCCGAGTGGAATGCGTAGGGCAGCAGAAGCAGTAGAAGATGAGGCCACATCGCCGATGACACCGAGAATGGTAGAATGAATGTAAGCTTGAGGCCGTTCAACATACCGTATAGTGGAACTGTGTACTCTTACATACATTATGTATGGTTATTATTAATCTGCCTAATTTACTGCAGAGCAGATAAATCATGTAGACCATTTCTTTTCGCTCCGAAATCATAAGCTGCACTAGCCGATTGTTTGGTCAAGGAGGAAGTCAAACTTGGTCCATTGGAGCAAGTTTTTTTTCTTTTTTCTTTTTTTTTAATTGAGAAAGAGGATAAACAACAGGCCTCTCTGGATTGGAGCGAGCTCCTTATCCGAAGCAACAGTGACCTAAAAAGATGTGCGCTCGGCTCACGCCGTATACATCGTCAGTCAGAAGATGGCCCGGCTCCGGTTGAGATGGTGGTAGGGACGGTAACTCACGGGCATCTGTCGGCGGTTAGTATGAGTGAACGACATAAACATGAGGCGTGGCCCCCTCCGGCCCTACACGGCTGCCACCCAGTAGCACACTACTCCCTCCGTTCCTTAATATTTGTCTTTCTAGGCATTTTAAATGGATTAAACATACGAATGTATGTAAACATATTTTAGAGTGTAGATTCACTCATTTTGCTCCGTACGTAGCCACTTGTTGCAATCTTTAGAAAGACAAATATTTGGGAACGGAGGGAGTATTTGCTTTCTTTTTTATATTTATTACTTCAAACCCCTAGCGTTCCTTTTTTTTTTGAGGTTTACCCGTATCGTTTCTAGACAAGTAGGTATAAGGTAAAGTCTTTTTTTTTACTCCAGCACGATCGCGACGAGCGCTCACACCGGAGACTCCTCTGGCGGTTGCTGCAACCGGAGCTATGTTTCTAAAACGCGGGTTATGTTGCAATTCTTGGCCTCTCAAGCTCTAATGATGTGTGCTCCTTCGACACTTTCTGCAATCGGGGATATATTTATGAAGCAAGATCCCTGTTGCAAAAGAAAAGATCTTCACCATCAGACCACTTTTTTTCTTCTGAAATAAGACCCTGTTGCTGAAAAAAAACTTCATCACTGAACCTTTTTTTTCTTCTTCTGAAACAAGACCCTTGTTAAAGGGACTTGTGGCCAGCGTGAGCGTTTGATCAGGATTGATCCGACGGCTACGCATGCAACAGGATTAAGTGTGTAAACTACAAGCGAAGGCGCCTTAAATGAAGACGCTTTTGGCTGTCGCCGATGACCATCCACGAGTGTGGCATCCTTCCCTTCTCACGTGCCTTTCCGTAGCGCGTAGTCAACCTGAAGGACCTTAAGCAAATAACACAACAGACTCTCAGTTGTGCAGGCAATCTGCTCCACTCTACTCTCAAATTTAAGATATATCTCAGAGACAATTACCAAGATAACAGAGTCTCAACCTAGCCATTTCAACTAAGCTAAATAATGGACATCTACTGGTAACTCACCTGCACATTGCATCCAATGAATCTCTTTCCAGTATCAACTCCTTCAAAAGCCAGACATTTCTTCGGCCTTTGCTTCTACAACATGCGATTCGGCACATCATCCACAACAACACCGTTGTAAAGCGGCTCAGGAATGATGTCTGGTGTCTCCTGCGTACATTGCAAGCTAGATCAACGACATATTCCATGTAATCTGTGCAGCAAAGCTCAAAACAAGAAAAAAAATCCCCAAATCCAAGAACCCTAACCCTAACTATTCAGAGAGGAGCCAATCTTACAAAGTAGTCCATGTCCATGAAGTCGTCGCCCATGTTGATGTCGTTGTCACTGCTCTCTTCCGCATCCTTCCACGACGACATGTTCACCGGCGACGAGAAAGGCAACGACATGGTCGAGTAAAGAGAGGAGAACGAGTTGGAGAGTGAGGGAGAGGGAGTTAGCCGTCTCGAGTCATTTTGACCCGGTCAGAACGTCAGCCTCTAACGTCCGTGAGCACGGGCGCCGTCTGTCGGCTGCCGACGTGGCCCCGACGGGTGGGCCTGTCTTGTCATAAATCCGTTCAAGACGTAATGATTGGCGACTTGGGTCTTTTGAAACAACCAACCCTCGAAAGTGGGAGTTATAAAGAAAATTTTAAAGGCGGTAGTTTTTTGGAAACCTAGCCCGAGTTGTGGTAGGTTTATGCTATTTACCAAAGAAAAAAAGAGCAAGTAATAAGGCTTTGTTGATTTCCAAAAAAAAACTATTATTTTTCTTCTTATATTTAAGTCGGCCTTTTAGCCATCCGACATCTAAGCATTGATATTCGTGTATTTGAAAAATGTCAATCATGTATTCGAAAAATGTAAAACGATTATAAGGAAAATGTTCCTACTGTGCATGTGGCGGAGTGCGGCGGGCATTTTTTTAGAAAAATGATTTTTTTTAGAATACCATGAACATTTTTTGTAATTATGAACGTATTTAAAATCACATTTTTTTTCAATTTTCAATTTTTTCTTCAAAAAAAAGCGAACAAAAGCTGAATTTCTAACAATTTTGGATTTTTGGAATGTTTTATTAAATACTTAATTTTTTGAAAATACGAACATTTTTCAAAATAGTGAACATTATTTGTAAACATGAGCAATTTTTCAAGTTGTGAATACTTTTCGAAAACGCAAACAATTTCTGTGCAAACCAAGATTCCCAGCATGGCAAGCATCCAAACGGCCCAAAACGGCATCCAGCGGGCCTGGCTGAGGTACATGTAGACTACCAAACACCTCCCTAGTGGATTCGATTCCAACATCGATTTGTAAGTGCCGCCATCCAGTCGAATAGTTTGAATTTGGGTGGCACCCATGAAGTCTTGACCAGATCACCCAACCGCGACGAAGAGCTGCTTTGCCATTTTTATTTTCAGACCATTTCCATCATTGCACATCTTCTTCCTTAATTCAACATGGCGGATCAGAAGGAATTGAAAAGATTGTGACGAAGTTAGATCATTGATGTCACGCGTCCAACAGTTTCTTTGAAGACCCATGGCAATGGTGCGCTCCCGTGTGGTTTCTCTCCGAACGAATTCCATCGACTCAAGGAAGAACACGCGAGCACACTGTTTTTAACACTATACCATCACAGATGCTCGCATAGACGTACATACACTCATATTTATGAACACACACGCACACTCTACCCTTATGAGCACCTCCAAGATACTGAGATGGCACAACATTTAAACCCTCTAGCTTTCAACTAATCGGGAAAA